GTGACTTGGCCCGGCTGCAGTGACCGCCCGAGCCCGCCGGTTGCTCCGTCAGGGACTTCCGCCTGGCAGCCAGCGTGTTCGCCGGCCTCCTCTTCCTGGCCTATGCCGTGGAGGTGGCACTGACTCGGGCCCGACCAGGCCAAGTGGCCAGCTACATGGCCACCACATCAGGACTCCTCAAGATCGTCCAGGCCTTCGTGGCCTGCATCATCTTCGGGGCATTGGTCCATGACAGCCGCTACAGGCACTACGTGGCCACCCAGTGGTGCGTGGCTGTCTACAGCCTGTGCTTTCTGGCCACGGTGGCTGTGGTGGCCCTGAGTGTGGTGGGCCACACGGGAGGCCTGGGAGGCCCCTTCGACCGCCTGGTGGTGGTCTACACCTTCCTGGCCGTGCTGCTGTAACTCAGCGCCGCCGTGATCTGGCCGGTCTTCTGCTTCGACCCCAAGTACGGCCAGCCCAGGCGGCCCCCTGATTGCCCTCAGGGCAGCTGCCCCTGGGACAGCCAGCTGGTGGTGGCCGTCTTCACCTACGTCAATCTACTGCTCTACGTGGCCGACCTGGCCTCCTCCCAGCGGATCCGCTTCGTGCCCACCCTGTAACCTGGCGAGCATGGCTGCCCACCCGCTCTCAGACCATACCCCATGTGCGGTGACGGTGATCCAGGTGAACGGGGCATCAGGAACCGAGCAGGAGGGAGGCTGGGGCTCCAGGCATACCAGGGCCACAAGGAGAGGTCGCTCCTGGACTTCCGGCAGCCCTCGGGGCTGGGCTTAGGAAGGGGGGGGCTGAGTAGGGAGCAGGGAGGAGCCTACCGCCCAGGCTCTCGCTCCCACTCCGTCTCGGTCTCTCTGTCTCCACTTCCTTGCTCTTCCTGAGCTTAGTGCCAGTCATTGCAACGTGGCGAGCCTTTGATGCAGGCGCTGCCATGACCCATTCTGCAGACGAGGATGCTGAGGCTGTCACACTTAAGAGAAGCCCTTGTCCACTGGCGTCTGGAGACTACACTCGGCGGTAATAAGGGTGGAAGAGAGCGGCTCCCCGCGATGTGGGCGCAGCTGGGCAGGAGCCCTGGAGGAGAGCCCTGCCAGGTGCTGTGTTGGCCTCTTCCGTCACTGGAGGCCATGCTGTGGCCCCAGGTCTCGGCAGGCTGGATGTGGCACAGGTGGCCTGAAAGGGCCTGGGGCTGCCGGCCCCTCACGGCACAGCGTGTGGAGGACCTGCCGGATCATCCATCGGCCCTAAAAGCAGCCCTGTAGCGCCTGTGCTGGGCTCCGGGAGGCTGAAACGGCTGTGGCGCTGGACAGGGTGAGGGCCTGGCCTAGGAAGCTGCTGGAACACGGACGGGACACTGGGCATGCAAGCGTCCAGTTGCTGGTCCCTCCTGACTGCCGGGGCTGTCATCCCCCATGCTCCAACCAGCTTCTCTAGCACTAGAGCCCAGACGTGACCAGCTGGGCAGGCCCACCTGCTGCCCACGCTGGGCAGCACAGTCCTCAGCCTGCTGACTGGCCCCAGGTCCTTGAGCAGAAATAAATGCCACCTTTGATTTACACCCTGGCTCTGAGCCGTTGTCTCTGCCGAGGGGACTGACCCAAGCGGGTTCTGGGCCAACATGCTCCTGGAGAAGGGCCAGAGGGGGCTCAGACTGAGGGAGGAGGTGGCCCGGGGCTGCCTGAGTGCTGGCGTGCAGGAAGGCGGGGCCTTGTGTCCTAAGATCTGGGGACCTCAAGAGCAAGAGGCAGGCATGTCCTCTCCCTCAGGTGGGGGAGGGCCCCGTGGGAAATAGGAGGGTCAAGCTTGTCCTCTCCCTCTCATGAGGGTCATGGTCACGGTCAGAGGGGCTGCTGCTTCTGGGGAGCAAACCCAAGAAGCTCTTGGCGTGGGCTCCAGAGCCCTGAGCCTGGCCTGATGCTGCTGCCGTGCAAGATGAGGGTCGAGCCTCAGTCCCCCTTCCCCCAGCTGCCCGCTCACGGTCCGCATCCCCGGGCGCGCAGGAGGCGGGTCCGGCCGGCGGGAGGGGCGCGGGCAAGCAGATGATGCAACCGCCCTATGATTGGCCGGCGCCCAGCGGCCGCGCCGCGGATTGGCTGGGGCGGAGGGGGCGGGGCCCACGGTCCTGGGTGCCGCGTGGCGGATGCAGCGCCTCGCTGGGGCTACGTGCGCTGGGATAACTGGACCGGGGTAACTGGACCGGGTCGCGATCTGGGGCTGGTGGGCGGGGACCGCCGAGCGGTATGGGGGCTCGGAGGAGGTTGCCTCGGGCGTCGGGTCCTTCCCCAAAACTGGTCGTTTCTTCTGCTGCTCGCTAACCCCTTGCATTAGCCCCCAGTTTAGGCTCCTCGGCCTGGGGACCCCCGTTCTGTGCGGGGAATGGAGAGCCTACCAGGCCCGGGCTGTCCCGCAGCGAAGGGGAAGGTTGGGGCGGGGGTGCCCGGTTACCGGAGGCGTGACCCTGGTACTGCCCACCTGAGTTGCTCTGGTCCTGCAGGGCAGGTTGTGCTGCGAGCGCTGTGGGTACGCGGCCTCTCGTCATGAGCGTGGGCTTCATTGGGGCTGGCCAGCTGGCCTTGGCTCTGGCCAAAGGCTTCACAGCAGCAGGTAGGGTCTGGGGCCAGGGAGGGGCCAAAGGGGAGAGGCAGGCTCTTTTACCCCTGGGCAGGGCTAGAGATAAGAAGGTGGGAGTCTGCCCCCGGTTTGGGAGGGTGTTACTCCAGGGGAGTGTCTCTCTCTACTGCCCTTGAGGTGGGAGGGGAGGCCAGCACTGACCTGGAGGAGGAACTCTCCCCCGCAGGTGTGCTGGCTGCCCACAAGATGATGGCCAGTTCTCCAGACATGGACTTGGCCACGGTGTCGGCCCTCAGGGTAGGTGCAGGACAGGAAGGCCCGGGTCCCAGTGGGTGCTGGGAGGGCGTGGATGGGGATGGGGCCGGGCTGCACCCCTACCCAGTGAGGGTGGGACCCTGCCTCCTCGTCCTGGTGACTCCCAGTGCTCAGCTCTTGGGACCAGGGCGAAGGGTGAAGGGTGCGCGTATGTAGCTGATGTGAGGGTTCCCTGTATGGATCTAAAGTTTGAGTAGGGGTCACCACAGGGGCCTCTGGAGCCCAGACAGGTGGGCCAGCATGAGGCCAAAGAGGCAGCGTGGGGTTGAGTGTGGCTTGTTTCCCGCAGCAGTTAGGGTCTCCGGTCCAGGGGTGGGGCCGGGCTCCCTGTTGAGACCACCACTCACACCTGGGCAGCAGGAGCCGTTGTGCTGCTCTGATGTAGGGCTTTCGGCTGGGGCGGGAGTGGAGGGAGACAGGCACAGGCTGAGCCTGCCCCGTTGCCCCGCAGAAGATGGGGGTGCACCTGACCCCTCACAACAAGGAGACGGTGCGGCACAGCGATGTGCTCTTCCTGGCCGTGAAGCCGCACATCATCCCCTTCATCCTGGACGAGGTCGGGGCCGACATCGAGGACAGGCACATCGTGGTGTCCTGTGCGGCCGGCGTCACCATCAGCTCCATCGAGAAGGTGCGTCCGTGCGCCCGCAGCGTCATTGGGGGTGCCCGGGCTCCCTCAGGGCCTCTGGGTTCTGGCCGTGAAGGGAGAGTTCAGGAGCTGCTCTGCCGGGCGCCGGCGTGCACACCCAGCCCCGCTGGGGCCAGAGGCACGTGGCCAGGCTGGGGTGCACACGGCTGGTCTCTCCTCAGAAGCTGACGGCATTTCAGCCAGCCCCCAAAGTCATCCGCTGCATGACCAACACCCCGGTCGTGGTGCGGGAGGGGGCCACCGTGTACGCCACAGGCACGCACGCGCAGGTGGAGGATGGCAAGCTGCTGGAGCAGCTGCTGGGCAGCGTGGGCTTCTGCACCGAGGTGGAGGAGGACCTGATTGACGCTGTCACCGGGCTCAGCGGCAGTGGCCCCGCCTATGTGAGACACCTCTTTTCCTGGGCAATTCAGGGCTGTGACAACTGGCACTGTGCCCCTCCACCCTCCTCCAGGCCCTGGGGGCACTGCCCAGAGGAGAATGAAGAGCCTGGGTGCCTTCTCCCTGCAGGCGTTCACGGCCTTGGATGCCCTGGCTGACGGGGGTGTGAAGATGGGGCTTCCGCGGCGCCTGGCTGTCCGCCTCGGGGCACAGGCCCTCCTGGTCAGTATGACTCGGCCCTCTACCGGGTACTACCTTCGCCTGTCCGAGTCTTGTGCACCTGAGACAGCTGAGGGGTGTTGGCTACTGCAGGGCGGGGCGCCCTTTACTCATCACCCCCCTTGGCTGCAGGGGGCTGCCAAGATGCTCTTGGACTCGGAAGAGAACCCCCGGAAGAGCACCCCGGCCAGCTCAAAGACCACGTCTGCTCTCCTGGCGGGGCCACCATCCACGCCTTGCACGTGCTGGAGAGCGGGGGCTTCCGTTCCCTGCTCATCAACGCTGTGGAGGCCTCCTGCATCCGCACACGGTGGGCCTCTGCCAGCCGCCCCAGCGCGCCAGGGCCCTGGCCGTGCCCACGTCTGCCTGGTCACTCACTCAGCATTTATCGAGCTCTGGCTTGGCGCTGGGCAGGACGTGGGTCCCAAGGTCCCCACCCTCTCCCATTGCCCTTCAAGGTGGTGACGTCCACGGGTGTGACCAGGCAACCTTGGGGCCAGCACTGCACACCTCATGGTTTTCCTCCCATCACAGCCAGGATGCCAGGCCGGGGTGGACAGAGGCCTGTCACACTCCCTTCCTGGCCTTGCTTGGGGACCGGGACGGTTGCCCCAGTGGTGCGGATGTGCTCACCCAGCAGAGCCCTTCCCGAGTTCTCCCTTCACAGGCAGGGAATGGCCAGCGTGCCTGGCACCAGGAGGGTAAGAGGACAGGGAACACCCACTAGCCAAGAGGACCTCAGGCAGGCCAGGGCTGCTGGGTGGGCCGGCCACACTGTCCACCCTGTCGTCCACATACCTCCTGGGCCGGGCCTCCGTGCAGGAGAGATGCAGACAGTGTGATCTTGGGTCGTGCGCTCAGGCGGCGAAGGCTTGGGGCCTGGCACACAGTGGGAGGTTTGATGATAGCAGACTACAGGTGAGGGCCGAGCAGCTGCTGCGGCTTGCAGAGGGGACTGTGAGCGAGCCCTGGGGAGGTGCTGGGAGCTGTGGGCACCGCTCCCTCGTCCCTGGCCGGAGGCGGAACCAACTCTCGCTGTTCCCCAGGGAGCTGCAGTCCATGGCTGACCAGGAGAAGGTCTCACCGGCTGCCATCAAGAAGACTGTCCTGGACAAGGTGAAGCTGGACCCCCCTGCAGGAGCCTCTCATTCCCCTTCTGGCCACACTAAGCTGCTGCCCCGCAGCCTGGCCCCGGCGGGCAAGGACTGACAGCCCCACTCATGCCACTCTGTCCTCTGCTCACTCCTCTCCTGGCTCAGAGCTGCGCTAGGGCCTCGAGCCCAGCCACGGCATCCCCATGGTGCAAGCTGCCCCGGGCTCCAGCCAGCCCAGCTCTGCAGCCCCTACTGCCTCCTGGCCCAGAATAGGAAGGGGTTCTCTGACCTCAGCCTCCTCTACCCCAATCAAGTCAGGACCCCCTTCCTAGGGTGCAGGAGGCCTGCGGGGCCTTTGCCCAGCCCGCCCTCCCCAGTGTCAGGTGGCTGAATACAGAGGTCAAAGGCTCCCCTCTGAGGGCTCAGCCTAGGTGGGAGCCGCCTCCCTCCTGCCCCTTCCTCACCCTCCACTCGGGAAGACTCCTCCTTACCCTGGGTGAGAGGGACTGGAGGGTCCCAGGTGTCCTGAGTATGGCACAGGAGACCACAGACCTCGTGGTCAGCTGCCACCCATGAGCCCTTGGGGTATTTAAAGAAAGGCCCTCGGGGCTGGCAACCCTTCTGCACCCACCAGTACTTGGGCATCTGCCTTTCCCGCCCTTTGGGGTGCCAGCATTTGTCTCCCGACCCGATAGGTTAAATAAATTGGTTTCCAGCCCCAGTTCCCGACCTCTGGCTCTGTTTTCCATGTGTGATACCAGAGGTAAGCCAGCAGCTATGCCCAGAGCCTTTTGCAGCAGGGCTGGCCAGGGGACCCAGAGTCTCCTGTTGAGCAAAGGAGCAAGTGCGACTGGGCCCCCGCCGTCGGAGACCTGCCCAGAAGCTGGCTCCATTGCCTGGGGTTGGCAGGCCCTGCTGTGGGCGGCGCACCGGCCTCTGTGTCCTCCGCCCTTGCCTGTGTGTTGGGCAGATCCCCTATCAGTCCATCTAGGCCAAGCAGGGCCAGACTCCTGGGGAGGAGGGAACCCTGCAGGGAGTGTTTAGGCATCTAGGCGGACAGCCACAGGTCACTGCAGAGGGGGGACCGGCCCCTGCAGCAGGCTGGCCCGTCCTGTCCGCAGGGTGAGCACGCAGCTGCTGGACAGCCCCTGCCTCAGAGGGTCTGTCCGGTGCTGTCAGTCTTAGCTGCTTAGGTGCTGCCAGACCTCGGTAGGTAAGGCATCTACTTTACCGAGAAGCCAATCTAATCCGACGTGGGGCCCGCGGTGGTGGGCGGTACAGGTGGCTGGATCTGCATGGCCTACCCCGCAGTCTGAGGCCTGGGACCTACAGCTTGAAAATCACATGTGGTGCGTGTGTGTGTGTGTGGGCGTGCATGCCCCAAATTCATTCTTTCTTTTATTATTTTTGGAGAGTTTTTTTTTATAGGGCACATGCACTTGCCAAAAAGACAGAGACAGACAGACAGAAAGTGAGAAATCACCCCCCGGGGGGATGGCCCCGCCGCAATCCCTTCTCCTCCATTCTCCTCTTGGGATCTTGGGCATACCCGCACACACGCACCCGGTGTGAGTTTAAGCCACCGGGTCTGGGACTTGAACCGCAGTTGACTACATGGGAGTCCAGCGACATAGCCATTACGACAACTGCTGGTCCCATATGCCCCAAATTCTGAGAGGAGAGCGAAAGAGAAGGGATTGTGAGGTGGCCATCCAACTTGGGTAATTTCACATTCTCTCTCTCTGGTGAGCCCATGTGCCCCATAGCAAAATAATAATAGTAATAATCTATGATGTAAATGTTAAGCAAAAACTCAGAAACCCCAGATATGTTTGGCCAAATATCTGTGCGCTCTGTGGCCCAGTCAAGTTGACCTTTAAAATAAGCCATGTGGGGGATGGGAGGTGGCATGGTGGTTAAGGGCTTTGGACTCTCACATCGTCAACTGCGGTTCAAGTCCCAGACCTGGCAGCTTCCTTTCTCACTTTTCTTCTCTCTCTCACTCTGTCCCTCTCTGGTCAAAATTAAAATAAATAAATAAAGCTAAGTAGAATAATAATTTTATTATGCATGGGGGCACCTGCGTGGTGACAGTGGGGCCCCTGTCGGGCAAGGGGAAGAACTTTTGAAGCACTTCACCATAGGGCTTCCTCCTCACTCCTCCCCTTTCCCCAAACCTACTTCAGAACCAAGGTCTGGTGTGTCCTAGATGGGCAGAGGGCGCTCGGGGCAGGACTCCAGGCCTAATCAGGGAAGACTGGAAGGAAACATAAACACAGCAAGTGGCCCAAGACAATCCCTCTCTGCCATGGCGGCCCTGAGAGCCCTGGGCCCTCCCCTGTCCGAACTCAGGCTGCACAGGCACGAGGGTGATGGTGGGTGGGCCTGGAGTACCCGCGGCCCTCCTGAGATCTGGCTGCGAGGTCGTTGTGGGCTCCAGGTGGGTAGTCAGGCTGTGCCTGGCCAGAGTCCCCTCCACTGACAGTGCAGGGAGGCCTGGTCTCACAGGCTGATGCCTGTCCCAGCAGGGGCTGGGGGCACGGCAGCCAGAGGAGGGCAAGCAACGCTGCCAGGCAGAGGGCCGTTGCAGAGCCCACTGGCCCAGCTCGTGTGGATGTGGGCTCCCCAGCCCACTGCGGGCACTCTGGCCATCCCCAGGACTGGGAACTGCCCATCCCAATGGGGCAGAGCTGGGAGTGTCGTACCGCCCTGAGCCTCACAGGCCAGGAGCCACTGGGAGAAGAGCTGGCCACGTGTTTGGTCCAGCTCCTGCCTGTTTCCTGATTGAAGCTGCCTTAGACTCCAGTCTGCCCAGCTGGGGCATTGGCCCCGCACACCTCTGCCAGTCCTTCCCTGCACTAGGCTGAGCTCTGCCCATGGTCACTTGCACACCAGGCTCCAATTCCATGTAAATGGCTGGGCAGAGAAGGGAGGAGTCCCCGTGATGGGCCCACTCCAGGGACCGGGCAGCAGGCTGGCCTCAGTAGGGTTCAGCTATGGGCTGCGTTCCTTGTTCTGGAGCCTCCCCGCAGCATCAGGGTGGGACTGTGCCAAAGTGCAGAGGAGGCGCCCAAGGAGCCAGGGCTGTGCCTGCCCCTGCCCTGAGAAGTAGCTACTGGAGCTGCCCGCAGAGATGCCACGCACTGCTCTCCTGGAACTGCTTCGACAGCCTTACCTTCTTGAGCAAGGGACAGGGGCCTGAGCCCTGCCAGGGAGACAGCCAGGACAGCCAGGGGAAGGTCAGCGTGCCTGGCCAGCTCCCTTCACACAGCCCAGCAGAGAAGGTGTGACAGCGTACTGTCGGGTCAGGACGGGCCCAGCCGGGTTCTGATGCCTCACACTCGATGCTGTGGGGCTCTCACGTCCATCATTTCTTCAGTGGCACTGAACCCCAGGACCGTCCTGCAGTCTGTCTGCCGTTAACTCAGCTGGCCCCACACAGAAGGAGGGCACAGGGCTGAGCAGGCCAGGCGTCTGACCTCCATCCCCTTCCTGCTCTGTCCGCCTCTTTCATCTGGGGATTCGCGACAGCAGGTCTCTGCAGAGGGGGAAGCGCACGGTCCTGGAACGAAGCCCTCGGCTGACCTTGGTGACACATGGTGACACAGAGAAAGGCAGCGCAAATCACACATCCGCGCCTGCCCGTCGGTGGTGCCAGCAGCCCCAGTGCTGGCCGCTGCTGCGAGGTCTCTGGGTTTGGGCCTGCTGACTGCACAGCTCCAGGACGGCCGGCCGGGGACCTCGGCCCTGCACCCTCCCACCGCCTGGCGCGCGGTCCGAGACGGCAGGGCTGGGACGCGCGCCGGGCCTCGACGGGGCAGCGCACTCCCACCGAAGCACCGCTAGGATCCGCTCCGCTTGTCACCCGAACCCTGGACAGGTACCCAGCTCTTAGGGGCGTGGCCTTAGAGGGCGTTTGGGCGAAGGGACCGGGGCGTGACAGCCGGGGCGGTCCCGCGAGACCAGACCCCGCTCAAGGTGCGGCGCGCGTTGCCAGGGGCGACCGCCCGGAGCGCGCAGGCGCGATGCGGCGTCCCGCCCCGCCCCCGGCCGCCGCCGGCGCGCCTTCGCCTTTAAGCTCTCGGGCCGCGTCGCTGCTTCATGA